AGCAGGAAAGATTTATGCAAAACCTGCACTGAATTTCTCTGCTTTGGCCTTAATGTCCTTGAATACCTTGTAATCCTCATCACCAGGCAGTCCCACCATCTCCCAGGCTGGCTTCCTGCTTCCACTGTCAGTTTGAGCATCTGTGCTGTTTACATGTGCCCTAGAATATTTCAGAGACTTCCATGTCTTGCTTGTTCAGATAGTTTTTACAGTTTCTAAATGCCAGTTTCTCTGCAGTAACTACTTTATCTTCCTCATGAAATCACAGAGAGGGGGTTTTGTTTGGTTTTTATCACTTTGGTTTTTTAATTGTAGCATACATTTGACTTGGGCTCCTACTTTTTTGAAGTTTCCCTCAAGCTGCTCTGCACTCCTCAAACTATGTCCTCTTCACATCTGAGACCGAATCCAGAATAACATCTTTTCTTGTTTTCTTGTTTTCCACATCTTTTCTTGTGGGTCTTAGATGTCCACAGAAGCAGTTCAAAACTGTGTCCCAAAATATTGTTATTATATCTTGTCCTAATGAAATATCAGTCAAATGTACACGTTTATAATTGAAATCTTGAATTTGCAGCTCCTCTAATATCACTTAATATTTCCTAGTCACACTGATAATGGCAGTTAGAGGATCAGTGGTACAGACCTTCAAGGATCATCAGCACTTTCTTTTTTCCAGTGATGTGACAAACCTTTTTTTGTTTTGCCCTCTCTCCATTGCTTAACATTGCACACACTGGTCAGATATTGTTGTGGGCAGTTTAACTGAAGAGTGTATGTCCCTTCCTGCCTTTTCAGAGGGGCACTGAACATTTGCTACATCCACCCAAGTCACTGGGTCACACCCGTCTGAAAAGGATGTCCTCCCATGCCTGTCAACTAACATGCAGCTTCCAGTTTTTATACTCCTCTATGGCCTTTTTAATTTTCATTTTCTTTGCTATCAATCTGGCTCCATTATAATTCAAATGCAGTCAGCCCATTCTGTGCTGGTGACTGTCATCCAAAGTATTTCTCACTTACTAAGGTATATACACCTTTCCTCTCTGTCACCTTACCTACACACTGAGACTTTGGATCCCTCTACCTGCCTCTCAGGCATCAAATGTGGAAGAGGCAGTATTTCAGATAATGCTATTATGAGGGTCTTGGACTTTTACCTCTTGCCTGGCTGTGTGAATTTTATCTATGGATTCTTTCCAGAGATAAAAGCAAATTCTGCAATTCTTGCTGCAGGAAATCCCTTATTTGACCTCATTTACAATGCTTTATTTTGTCTGACCAAAATGCAGATCAAAAATTCACTGATCTGAATCCTTTTATCAGTATAAAAAATTTTACTAGTGGAAAACATTAAAACAGGAGGCTATCGTTCTCTGTGAGTAATAATAAGAAAAAATAATCTCAGCAAAGTAAAAAATCCTTTTTCCAATTGGGGATATTCCAGCAAGATTTTATAGACAGGATTAAGTTGCCTGAGCATTGTAGTCTCATTGAGCTGCTCTATTGGATCATTCAGTAGAGAAAAATGAAAAACCAATCTATGAAGGCAATCACTTTTTAATTTATATAACTTTAGAAGTATCGAGACAGAAGTGAGTATGGTTTAAGTTGTAGCTGATAAAATGTAAGATAATATAATAGGAAAAAATATGAAATATCTGCCAGCATTTATATTCCCATTTTCCTAAGAAACTTAAATATCTGACATTTTATCCTTGTCTTAATCCAATATTAAAACAAGATATAATATGCAGAATGCTACTTCACAGCTCCAGTAGCTGTTGTCACTATATGAGAAATAGTGCCTCTTTCCAGAAAGGTTACATTTAAATATTCTTCCTAGTTTAGAAATTGGAAGTGATGTTTTTTGCCTTCTGTGGTTTTTTTCCTGTATTTAGGTCAAAGTTGCTGAGCTGGTACTGCTGTACTATGTATGTACTCCATGACAAACTACTGCAGAGGCTGCCTGATTTTCTTAGTACTTTGTGTATGGGAGTCTTCTGCTAGCCTAATTTAATGCAAAGTTGTGTAAAATTACATCTCAAAGTAAATTCATAACACGGGTGTTACAATTCAGATAATCTTCTCTTCCTCTTTTTTTTTCCCCTTTTGCTTTCTTTGTTCTTTTTTATTTTGACTTTTTAAGATACTGTTTCCCTTTTGGACGTCCTGAAGGAGCTTTAAAAGCCACACTTTCACTACTTGAAAGGGTAAGTTTGAGAACACATTTTAAATTCTGCTTGACTGTTGAGCCTTCATTTTTCTTTTGCCTTCAGGTTGCTGAGAGCAGACTTGTGTCTTCTTAGGTATTTTACTACTATTTTCAGACATTCACTGTAAGGTGTGTTTTTTTCTCATTGTTTTCCACAGAGGCAAACAGCTGTTTTCTGTAGGGCTTGTTTACTGGACTCCACTTCAAGCAGTGTTTCTTTATCATTTAGCACTTACTGAGCATCACCTCTGAAGTAGTACAAGCCTACTCTACAGCCCTCTTGTCCTGCTTTCTATGCTGATGATGTTGTCTATACTCATATATAATGTTAAAAAGCTTCTATATAATTCAAATAACATTCCATAAATGCAGGATCTGAATCAATTTAAGAAGCAAAATCTTTATGCAGTAAATCTGACATGGGCAGCTATAAATGTTAATTCCTGCGCAGAAAATCCTCTTGTATTGACTGGAAGAATGACTCATAATGATAAAATAATCAAATCATGTCTGAGGAAAGAGAACTTTAAATTGTGGCAGATATTCCAGAGGCATTTTATCAGCAGGAGTCTGATGAAGGTATGAATTCCAAAAGAGCTTAGATCCCAGGCTGTGTTGCTTTACTAAAATCTGAAAGGTTTGATCCTGGAGAATATTAGTTGTTCTGCACTGCAGAACACTCCATGGATAGAGATTGTGTCTTAGCAAACCTTTGCCATATTAAAAAACAGAGAGAGAGTCTGAGTATATATGTTTGGACTTCGAATCTCAGTGGTTGTAGTGTTGTGTAGATTCCTTTGTACTATGTGAAACATCCATTTTGTCTCACCATTCCTGCCGTTACAAATGGCAATGGTTCTCTAACTGGTGCTCAAACAACACTACTGTCAGTCTTGACTGGGAATAAATGTGTTTTCCTGTATTTGTGGATGCGTAATGAGTTAGAAACATTTTATTTTATCTGACTTTGAAAACAAGAAAGAAACAACCAACCAGATCCAGAATAAAAGATTTTGAGTACTGTATATTCAAGCAAGTTAACACAGATAGGTAAATCATATGTGTGTGCAAGTATGGCAGAAGTCTGCTTTTCACCAATGTCTTCCTAGTAGCTGTTGCTGAACCTGTTTCTTTTCTACCAAGGCCCTCCCCAGACCGTATCTCTTGCTGCCTCCATTTAGCAGTAATTTTTAGATATGTTTTGTAAGTGTGCAGCTTATCTGGAGATCCTCTGGACAAGCATTTTTTTAAGGTTGTGAGTTACCTGAAATTTTGTTATTTACACCAAAATGTTATTAAAACATATTGAGTTTTCTTTACACATACTTGTTGGAACTTAACGGAGTATAGAATTAAAGTAAAAATGCAAGTGGCTTAATGACAATATTTATTCCTTTTTTGATGTAGTAATCCAGATTATATAATGTTGCATTCATATGAGGAGGTATAGATGCTCAGCTTACCTCACTTGCAACAGGTGAAATAACAACTCACAGGTTTTGAAAACCTTTATATGGTCTGTTGTTCTACTTGTCTGTAATAAAATATTCCTACCGAAGTTCAGTGTTTTCCCTGCCTGCTATAGGTGACATATTTTTCACAGCAAGGACTTGTTGAATTTGAGTAACTTTACCCTGTTGAAGAGTCTGTGGTTATGCGATGGTGGATGTTTTTCCATAGGTGAGAACCAAGCAAACTTCCACATCCACATCTTTAGTGGTAACCATGATCCAGCCCATCCACGGAATGCTCTTATACTGGTTATAAAGACTGGCATGCTTCAAGATGCCAAACAGCAGAGATATTGTATATAAATACCATATAGGCAGTCAAACCAGTGTTGAACAGAAACCTTCAAAGAGGAATATCTAGTTCCACCAGCTGAAATAGTTCCTTTTTTGATTTCTGCCTTTAATCATTATCAGGTCTGTAAGAACTTTAGGATACTTTTATCCCTTTCCTGCAGCATTTGGGTAATGATTGTAACCAAATGGTATCATTGTCTCTGACACAGGTTTTAATGAAAGATATTGCCACTCCCATACCAGCAGAAGAGGTCAAGAAAGTGGTTAGAAAATGTCTGGAGAAGGCTGCCTTGATCAATTACACTCGACTTACAGAATATGCCAAAATAGAAGGTTAGTACAGCAATCAGCTGCCAAAGTGGCTGTAAAAGCCAACAATGCCTATTAACTGCATATTCCGTGAGCAGCCTTTTCCTTTTCCAGAACAAACCCCTTCCACAGCAAGGGGAAATGTCTCATTAAAATCTCAGCTGGTGAACTGTGGAGCTTTTTCCTATTCATTGCTTTAATATGCCTCCTGGGACCCTGTTTGAATGAAAGACTAGGACTTCCTAATTTAAGTTGCCCTTTGTTCTTACTTTTGAGTTCTTCATAAATCTAAGAGGTTGTTTATGGGTTATTTTTTATTTCTTTAACTATTTCTGTTAATTAAACTACTGACAGAAAATTCTTTCCTTAACAGTAGTGTCAGTACCTTGAAATTTGAAACCTGTGGGTATAGATGCTTTTATGAAGTATTTATAAGACAGATAGATAAATATCCGTTTCGCTGCTGTGTTGTCAGATGTATAATAATCTGATGATTAAAACCTTAATTACATTCCAATTGTCTGAATTAATTAATGGGACAAAATACTAGGTTTGAAGGTAATCAGAAGTTTTTCTGCAATTTAGGTATGTTCTATAAAGTATAGCATGAAATTAACTAAGATTTTGCTAAAAAAATGGCTAATATGTACAATGGCATTTTGCTATATGTAAATGTTATGTAGAACGAAAAGGAAATCATAATAGTCAAATATCTTCTCAAGACACGTTATTCTCTGTAAAGCACAAAAAGCTTGAGGTGCACCTCTACAGATATACTAAGTAGAAAACTGTGTCTATATCACTGGATTTTTGGAGATAATTATGGGAAAATATTGAAGAAATAACTGGTTTTTTTAAAATTCCAAATTTTGTGCAAATTAATTTTTAATAGTATGTATTTCTAGCAATTCACTAGAAGAAATAGAGTTAGCATAGCAGCAAAATGAAGAAGCTTCATATGTTTAGCAATATTGTAAAGCCAACTTTTTTTTCTTTTTTCATTTCTGCTCAAATTCTCTGAAAAACATGAGTCAACCAATCTCACAAGTGATTAACAAAAAACCCATCTCATCACTATAGCAACCAGTATTATATCATGGAAGTAACAACATGAAACCATCTTAGTAACCAGTTTATCATAATTAATTATGATATCATGTCGTGTTAAAGAAAAAAAGGATGAATATTAAATCTATTCTGTAAAAAAAAAGGAAAAAAATCCGTTTTCCTTAGTTTTATCTTTCTATATTCATAAAGGGGATTTTTACTGTTTAGTATTTCAGTCTTGTAGCAAACCTGTTGAACTAATAGGTGTAAATGCAGAAATATTTTTTAAATATGATAAAAGATTGCAAAGGATATCTAAACTCGCTGACAATAAATTGGATTGGAAAAGTTTTCTGAGTGATGTAAATATATAACTGACCAAGATTTTTAACTGCATCCTAGAGAATTGTGACACTTTCACTGCAAGTAGCAAAGTTTTCACTTTAAAGTATGCACACAGTCAACACTGCAGTAAGATGGAACAGCACATAAAACTGCTGCCCAGCCCATGGCATATTTTCAAATGCAAATTTATTTTTGGATTTATTGCCTTATGGTCCAAACACAACTAGATTTCTCTAAGTAGTCTTACACTCATGTAGCTGTAAAAACAAAGCACAATATATCATTGCATATATAATGAGAAATAGATTAAGTACTTTTCTGAGAATAGAATAGAGTACTTTTTGAAAGTGGAGAGCTCCAGCATCATAACATCAGAAAATTCAGTGCATTGGTTTTCAGTAGCAATGAGACCTGCATTGGTCTCTTTCTATACACTGACAATTACAAGCATTCTACATTTTTACCAATATAAATGTAATAATTTGCAGCAATAGGTTCCATTCTGCTTCTTTAGGTTTATAGGAGCATTATTGTATCTGTGCACTGAAGTTACAATCTTCTCTTGAAAATAGTTCATGTTAGAGTTTGCATTAGATGCTTACTCCTCAAATTGCACACAGAAAGCACATAGTCCTTATCTCTGTAACATTACTGATATCCTCAAGTGTGGCTGCCATACAGTTTTGAGATTTTCATCCTATTCCTTGAATATTTCTTCAGTAAACAACATGATATCAGTCATTCAAAATGCAACTATTACATGGCAATATCATCTATAGACCAATAGTACCAAAAAAATAGATGCAAAGAAGATTCCAACAAAAATAATGTTCTCTGATTCTTACTTTCTTATATTCTTTTATTATCATTTGTATTTCTAAATTCCCAGACACAATGCAAACTCAGCACATGAGCCTGAAATAAAGACCATGTAGGACTAGTAAATACAAATATACTACCTAAAAACACACCATTTCTCCCTTGGCTGATAAAACCCATCACTTGTGTGAGCTGACTATCATGATAGTTGTATTCAAGATCTTTTGATTGTCACTCCTTACGTGGCATTTGTTCTTCCCTAATTGAATTTAAATAGTTTTATTTCTGTAATGATGTTTTTCTTCTCTTTTTTAATTTTTTTTCTTTTTATATTTAGCAACGCCAGAAAAGGACCCAGGTGATTACTTTTTGTGTGCATGTCTGCATGCGTTACAGATATAGTGTGTTGTGGCTGTTGTTTTATTATTTTTGTTGGTTTCAACAATACCAAGAGACTGAGCAGAACATTTTTGAATATTAAAATTAATTTTGATATAGTATACTCCATGCAGTCTTCATTTACAGTGATACTTACCTGTGATGTACATATTTATTAGCAATTTATATAAATTTTCTCATTTGGAATATGATGCAATTGTAGTTTGTGTGAAAGAGGTGTAACTAAATGATGCAGAAAAGTTAATTCAAAATCAGTTTGTGTATTTAGAAAAGTATAATTTCATGGTCATCGGAGAAATGGAATCTGCTTCCTAACAGGACTTCTGGATTTATTGATGAAGATCTTGGTAGGAGAACTAAATTGGTACAACTGGTTTTGCATTTCTCTGATACGGCTTTGTTTAGTGATAAGTTTCTTTTTCTAGTTACAACTGAGGATTGTAAGGATGGTAGTTCTTTGTGTTCCTAATTTCCTGAAACTGATATGATGTGTATTCTCCAAGAGTGCAGAGAGGGTTTTTTGAGTACTTATATCCCAATATTTAAAAGTGATCATAAAGAGAGCACAGCTGAAGTAGTGTTTGTGGCTGCATAGAAGTATGAGGGATTGTGCATATGTATACTATGAAAGAGATGTGTGCACTGCTTTTGTCTTACCTGACATACACACATACCCAAAGGAACGTTGGTCATGATGCTTTGTGGAGTTTCACAAATAATATCAATCACAGTTATGGGAAGGGGCATTGAGCTGGTAGTACTCTCAGGATGAAATAATTTTTCATCTGGAAAGACAGACTGGCATAATGACTATAAAGGTGGCATGAATGTAGTTCAAAGAGGACCTCTTTGCCATGCGGGGTTTGAAGGGAGGAAGATAGTCCACTTTTGGAAGAAAAGCTTCTTTATCGAGTAAACAAGTGAAAAGTACTAGCAAATTATTGAAACTATTTTTTTTAGTCTGTGTTCATAACTGAAGGTTCAAAAAGCTCCTCTGATTTCCAAAGCTTTCACTGTTTTTTTGTTTGAAAGCTTTAAATTCCCTGTAAATAGAACACATCTATTTGGAATTCTTAAAACGAAGAGCAGACAATGTGTTGGATATTCATGCCACAGTCTATTAGGATGAGTTGACAGGAGCTCATGTTGCTCAGGTAATCTGCCAACTCCCTCTGATCAACAGAGAGAGGTTCCTTAAGCAGCAGCTTCAGAGGACTCAGAGGTTCCTTCAACAATTTCTCTATGAGAGGAACTATCTCATGCCATCAAATACAAATGCACCCTAAGACAATTTCCCTAAGACACCTAGAGCTTGATAGAACAAATATTCTGTTTAGTATTTTAGCACCTGTAGGTATTGGAGAAAATACCTTTTAGAATTAGAAATTCAGACACGTTTAAATTCATTTGTGAAATGTGAAATGAGAAAACTAATTTTAGAAGCTGTCCTTTGACCTTTGCACTCTAAAACCTCAGATGTACACATGCATCACCTCAAGTATAAATCTTCCTAATGCCACAGCCTATGTTAGAAACACAGACCCTTAAACACAGATGACATACAGTTACAGGCACTGGAAAAAAAAAAAAAAGGACTGTACATGATTTCAGTCATTTTTTGCATTAGGTTTATGCATGCTTTGAAATAAACCATTGCCGTGTTCTGAAGATAGGATAGCAAAGCTGTCCCTTAAGTGGCCTGGCAAATAACTAGATTATAGAGTGGATGAGAAGAAAGCCTATCACATACAGTGAATAAATGGAAATTTACTGTGTGATTTAAGTGAAGCTAGAGGTTTCTAGGCTATATTTATAATTTAATTTCTTAATTGAATCCTACTTTGATGAAAAATACAATGGAAAATTAATCAGAAACTCAGAAAAAATAACTTCATTAAAAGGAGTAAATAGACTGTGTCCACCAGAATTTTGTCTACCATTGAACCTATTTCCCTCATGCAAAAGATAAAGCTGCTGAGGGAAGTCCCAATGAGATTACATTTTAGCCTTGCTAACAGGGCCAAATCCTATTCCTGTTGGTGTTGCTAGCTAGACTCTGACAGATTTCATAATGAACTTGATGTACAATACACTTAGCCCTAATACCATATATTGCATTGTCATGGAAAATAAGGAAAATCTATTTCTTGATAACTATTATTTACCCTTTAACTTATGCATTAGATACTGTATAAAGAATCTTGACTATCAGGACTGTCCTTGTTAGGACACCTCTGTAAGAGGAGAACATGCACATTCTTTTTGCTGCGAGAATCCTTTCTCAGCAGTGTGGTTGCCAGGTTCCCAGGTCTATTCCCCAAGTGCTGTCATTTTCACAGTCTCAACTGAACAAGACTCTGAATGTTTTCCCAAAGACAGTGGTTACTTTCTTAATGGCAGACATGGTGGCATAA